GGGGGAGGGAGGGGAAAGCGCAATAACGTCGCGCCTTTTTTCGCGCTGCAATATACGCGCGAGATGCGAGATACGTCCGGATACGGCCGACAGACGTCGGCGCTCCAGACTATAGTCCAGACTCGCGTCGCGCGAACGTCTGTGGCGAAATTTTTTATTAAATTACCCAATGTCGGGAAACGGCCCGCGCCGTACTTCTCTATGTAGATTGATAGATCACCGGGGAGACCTCTGGACTCTCTCTGTCTTTCTCTTGGAAAACTCTTTGGACCATTAGAGTCCTTGGAGATTCGGAGACAGTTCTCTTTTCTCATTTAAGTTTCGTCCTTCGTGACAGTTTTACTTTTATTGTTAAACGTTTTGGCGATTACGTTTTAAAAAAGGTTTTTGTGTATCGAATCTAATTGAGATTAACGGAAAATCAAAAGATCGATATAACGATTTCCTTCGGAAAACGCGCAAATGAGTTTGAAGTTTTTAAAATTCTCCGAGTCTCGACGAGACTCAAAGTTTGTATAAACCAAATTGACCAAAATTTAGATCGAATGGATACGAAATAAACGCATCGAAATTTTTTTTTTAAACAACGGTTTTATTAAAGTATCTAAAAATTTAGCTCGATATGGAGATCTGAAAATAATTTTGTTAGACCATCAAATAATTATAGATCGCTCCAGTTGGTTGCTAGAATGTCAAAACTTTTCGTCGCATTACTCATTAGCTTGACATGCTTGACAGTCCTACATAATTATGAAGAATAAAGAATGATTTGCTGAAGTACTTAAAAATTCAACTAGAGACAGATCTAAAAATAATTTTGACAGTTCACCAAAATTATTTTTAGATCTGTATCTAGTTGAATTTTTAGGTACTTCAGCAAATTATTCTTTCCGTGTACACAGTTACAAATCTGAAAATAATTGCTTGTTGGACCATCAAAATAATTTTGTTGGAAAATCAAACTGATTGCTAGAATATCAAAACGTTTATAACAATGCTCATTATTTTTTACTTTCTAACCAAATTATTTTGATGATCCAGCAAGAATTATTTTCAGATCATCTAACAAAATTTTTAGATCTTCAGTAAAATTCTTCTTTCCGAGATGTTTTATTTTTCCTCAAAGAAGTATTTTTCTTTTTTCTTTAAAGAATTCCTTTCTTAGAGGTAGCTAGAGATGTAAAAAAAACGTTTCTTTTCTAATAGAAAAAAAACATTAGAATAAAAACGTGTTTTATTTTATTGAAAAAATACAAATTTGGTTTTTTTTTTAATTCCGATAACATAACTAATTAATTGTAAATAGTAATTATGTAATTATATAATTAATTTTAATGTGATCCACATTTAACTTTTACAAAAAGAGAATCTTTTTAATTGTAGAATTTATTATAATTATTTATTGAAGTTGTTTCAATATATGTATGTTTCAGAATCAATATATTGGCTTTCTCATTCTGCGTAAAGGTTAAAATGATGATAATTTAAATCTATCTATAAAATCAAAAATCACGAAAAATTAACTTAATATTAAGCGAAATATAGATATTAAACAGATAGCCCAAAAAAACAAAATTTTGAGAAAAAAACGAGGCTTATGTTTTTTTCTTAAAAAAACGTATTTTATGAAAAAAAAAACAATTTGATTTTTTTTTCTATTTACGTCTTTAGAGGTAGCATCTTGAATATTTTTAAGCCTCCGTTACTAAATTCCGTTATTAATTGTCTCCATCCGCGTTTCTGTTTGCAGGGAGAACGATCAAATAATCGGCTCCTACTTGGAGATCGCGGACGTCACTCTCGAGGATTACGGCGAGTACAAATGCGAAGTCAGCAACGGCGCCGACGAGGAGATCACACTGGCTGCTCATGTATACCGGCAAGGTCAGTAAAACCAAATCCGAAGTATCCGTTGAATTCCTCCTTATCAAAACTCGCGATTTCGTGCGAAAACAGGCTAGAATAATCTCATTATCGCGCGTCGAATTTTTGTTTTATTTTGATATCGTATAAATTCGATATCTTTACGCGTATGTTACGTGAATTTATCGTATTGCGTTCATTTTCGATGTTTTTCAGTTCTAATGTTTACTATTTCATTTTTAAATTTAACGCCACGTCGGCGGTCCCGAGAGAGCTTTTTATGCGAATCAGATTTGAACATACACCCGGCTATACGGGATTAAATAACTCCGCTTGTTATTTATACCGGCCGCGCGATTGTTAATTACGGTTTTTGCCCGACGCAAAACGCATTCAATCACTCCGGACGCTTTATTGTTCGCGTAATAAAAACAGACTTTGCGTTGGATTCATTTTAATAATCGGCGGAAATGTTCGGGGAAACGTATTGGCCAACTAGCAGACCGCATACGCGTACGCACGCGACGGCGATTCACTTTATCGGTTTTAATTATTATACGACAAATTAGCTTTTCGGGCAAATTATTACAACGCAACGATAAAATCTTGTTTTTAAATTGGATCTCAGATTTAATTCGCCGTCAAATTTAGTATCTCGTACGTATACTTTGTTGCTACCTGATATTATCGCGGTGAAAAGAAAGCAATAGCTTCTTTTTATCTTTCCGCGAAAATCTCTATTTGTATTTTCGGAGTTGAAACATTTGGGGACATTAAAGACCGTCTTTTTATTAGCATTTATTTATTCACAGACAAATATTTCCAAGGTTCAAAAAGAACTTTTATTTATTTTAATTTCAGTATTATTTATTTATTTTTTATTAATTTAAAACAATCTGTTTTTATCAAGATTTATTTATTTAAGGATAAATGTATTTGAAATTTAAAGAGAATTTTGGTTTATTTTTTAAATCTTAAATACATATTTATTTTACTATTTTTTATTAAGCAATTCTATTGAGTTTGGAACATTTTCTCACGAAAAAATATTTGTGTTTCATCATTTACGAAGAAAGTTTGAAATCGTAGGCGAAATTTACGAATTTATTTTAGGGGAAGGTATAAATAAATTGACACGGTTCTCCGTTTAAGTATTATTTATTACTATATTTGATATGTGAAAGATTAATTTATAATACGAAGCTTATTAAAATACTATAGGGTTTTTTTTTGTTATTTTAAGCAGACTCAATAATTCTGCCTCATGTTTCACGATTTGGTGAATTTTTGTGATTTTCTAAAAAAGCATTTAATATTTTCTGCATGGAAAGAACAATTTTGCTGGATACAGAGCTGAAAATAATTTTGTTGTACCATGAAAAGAATTTTGTGTTGAAAACTCAAAAGTAATGAGCATTGCTGTAAAACTTGATTTTTTAGCACTTTAAATCTTCAACAAAATTATTTTCAAATCTGTATCCAGCAAAATTTTTAGACCTTCCAGCAAAATCGTTTTTTCTGTATGGTCTATTTTTCCTCAGGACACTTTGTTCTATAGATTACACTTAAAATAGACTATTTAAAAAATGTTTTTACAAAATGATAACAGTATAAACTTATTTTTGCTTAAAGATTGTTATTTATATTGTTATCATTGTAATAATACTTTTCTAATATTTATTTTAGTTTCAATCTGTAGAGCAAAGTAATCTGAAAAAACTAAATAACCAGGAAGTAGCAGATTGCTCCTTTAGAAATCAGGAAATCGTGGCAAAACATGAAGTTTTCGAGTCTGTCGTCAATGACAGAAAACTATATTTTTAATAATAATAAATTTTAAATGACAAATGAATTTTCTACATCTTAAATACAGTAGTGAATAACTAAAAGGAGAATCCGTTTATTTCTTTCCCTGAAATAAATTCTGCAAATTTCTATTTTCCAATTTAGCCATAAATCTCCAAATATTATCCCTTCTTAATTGGATCGTGTAACCTTTCAATTTATTTTATTATTATACGCACTGTGCGTTTTATCGCTTTTTGCCTTTCATACAAAATCTCAAAATCTTTCTTCTTGATTCGCAGAGCCGCAGTTCGTATTGAGCCTGCCGAACGGTTCCTGGCGGAAGTCCCTGCTGCTGGCGGTCCTCGTCCTCGTGCTGCTGCTCTCAGCCGGTGCATTTTACGCGCGTTGCTGGCTGCCACTCGCACTGTTTTGCAGAGACAAGTTCGGCCGCCTCGAGGAAAGCGGTAAGAGCTCCACAAATCATAAATAACTTCTCCTCACCTCCTCCCCCCCTCTTACCCCGCACGCGGTTTTTCCCCGCCACTCGGCGATCGCAGTAAGAAATCCTCGAGCTCGCGCGGGGAGATATCCCGGAATTCCCGTGGAAATTTGAAGATCGAAGCTTTGAAGATCTTGCAAATCCCGGAACTCCACTCGTATTTCCCAAGAGTTTGAAGAGATTCCATAAAGCCAAGGACTGGACTGGGTTCAACTTCTTAGGACTCCGAGCTTGATCTTTCTCAGCCTCTCAGAAAACTCTCTTTTTGTTCCTGAGAGTATTTCGAAACGCGAAAAGAGCCTCGCGATTTGAGAATAAAAATACATTTTCGGTGAAAAAAAAAAAGAGAGAAATTCGCGCCGAACCCGAAATTCCGGGGGATATCCGAAAATCTCCCGAGATAGCGCCCAGGGAGCAGAATTTAATTTTCTCCGTCTAAGAACTTCGCCTTCCGTCCTCCTTGGCTGCCTCCCTAAATTAAAGGTCCCTATAAAACGCCGGAATCTCGTTGTCCAAAGACAAGGGGATACGGCTTGACGTAGAACTCGAAGTCGCGCATGGATCGCGCGAGGATTTTTCCCTAATCCCGAGGACTAAGGGGATCCCGATGGGCCAAAGATCCTCGCTCCGTCCGCCTGCCTCATCCCTCTCGTCGTTGGCCCGCCTTTTTTTTGCGACGACAAATTCGTCGCGGCAACACGGGTGGGGCAGAAGGTGAGGGGAGGCGAGGGGGAACGCTGTCGGGGTAATTATCAGCGACGCTTTTTCGTTCGCTTAATTGCGACTCTTAATTACCGCGAGAAGTACCGCGAGAGACTCCAAGGCGGGGAAATTAAAGTGGCTGTTCCTTGATCTCCCTTTTTCGCATTTTCTATCTCCCTTTCCGCTTCCCCTCCCTTCTCCTCTTCCGCCGATCGTCGTCTTAATCCTATACCGGCCTTTCTTTTCTTCCCGCTCCCGCCCTCGCCCCGCTCTCGACTCGTCCCTTCAATTTGTTTAAATAATATGCTGATAGCGGCGCGAGCTGCCCCGTGAAAATCCGCTCGTCCAGGCGTTTGCCTTTCAAGCTCTCCCTCCAGGGGGTTCCATCCCCTTTCTCCAACTGCGAGTCCCGGGGTCTTACGTATTGTAAATTGAAAGGGGTGAGTTTTTTATGGGATTGCTCTTATCTCGAAAGAGCACGAGACCCGGGAGGATAATCTCGCAGGTGAGAAAACGCAGCGCGGCCCTTTGTTTCGCAGCTGCGCCATTTCAACACCCGCCCCGGTGTCCCCCCGGCACGCACGCAATAACAGAATAAGAAATTAAAATTAATAACGAATTCTCTCATAAAAATTCGTCCGAGAGGACAAGAGTGCGAGAAAAATTGAAAAGCCTGCGTCTGGAAAATCGCATTGCAGGTTCCTTGGTTTTTCGCGCGCGGTAATCTTTTAGGATCCCTTAGAACTTTAGATTTCACGGAGTTGTGCGAAGCGTCCGTGATTTCGAAACGCGTTCTGATTTTTCTAAAAGCAACCGGAGAGAGAATTCCACGAGGGTAGGAATCCCAGGAAGGGGGAGAGGAATTTTTAAGAAAAGAATTTTCTACTCTCTCTTTCGAGAGAGTAGAAAATTCTGCCGAATTTTAATTCCTCTAAGAGCAGAGAAGGGAACGGGAGAAGGAGGAGGAGGAGGAGGGCGGGGGGGAGTGGAGGAAGAATTTTTGCAGGCACAAAAGACGGGCGGTCGTTTTATTCCTGCAGAAGGACATTCTCCAGGGGAGGAAGAGCGCTCGCGTAAATAGGAAGCCGCGATCTAGTTGAGGCTTAATGAGCTGCGTCCTTCCTTCTTCTTCTCCCCTTTTTTTCCCTCCTCCGCTCCGGTCCCTCCCTCGCTTTTTTGCTCGCCTAACCGATCGCACTTTAATTCTTCCCGCCCTCTCGCAATTTACTTAAGTAACGCTAATTCCGCCGGGGGCAGGAACTTTCAAAGGATTTTACGCGGTGTCTCCTTCCCCCCCCCTCTCTCTCTCTTTCTCGGTTGCTCCGACGCTTCAATATTTCAGACACGCTGTAATATGAAACGGTAAAACGATGTAACTCGTTACACCCAGGGTCTCTCTTTGCATATTACGTTTAACAATTACGGTGGGATTATTACCGGCGTTTAACCGTGTCTCGCGATTAAAAAATGTCACAAAGGTGGAGAGAAAGATTCAGGTCCCTGGTCCTTTTGGGTTGAAAACAGTATGGATAAATACGGGAGTACAGAAGAATTATATGAAGCTCGTCAAAATTGTGTAGTTTTAATGGAAATGTCATGTTAACCATTTTGTCACACATCATTCTAAATTTGTGGAAAAGAAATTTTTTAATACACTTTTCAGAATTTCGATTCCTATGGAACAAATGTTGCAAGAAGACTTCTTTTTTTTGCATTTTACTTTAATAAATATTGACGTTTAAGCGTGCTTCACGATTCAAAATAATAGAAATAGAACAAGATTCAGTCTCTGTCATGTTAACCACTTTGTCACACATATCATTTTAAATTTGTGGAAAAATATTTTTTAACAGTTTTTAGAATTCCGAGCTAACAGTGGAACAAATGCTGCAAGGGACTTCTATTTTTTGCGTTTTACTTCAATAATTACACTAAGTATATGTGATAACGTGACAATAATTATTACTGACATTTTATCGTGTTTTACGATTAAAAATAATAAAGACAGAAGAAAATTCAGTCCAGGCTAAAAATAGTAGAGATAAATACGCAAAAACGTATTTATTCATAGAAGAAATATATATAACAGTGCAAACAAATTCTGTATCTGATAATATATTATATAACCACGTTATAGTACACACCATTTTAAATTAGTGGAAAAAAATGTTTTACACAATTTTCTGAATTCCAGGCTATCTCTGTAAAAAACATCGAAATCTCGCAAGATATTTTTTTCTTTCTATGTAATTTATTAATTATTTATTTATTATAATGTAATTATCGGCATTTAATCATGTCTTCATGAATCATTTCACGACTAAAAATAATAAGGAAAAGATTCAGTCCCTGTCCTTTCCAGGTTAAAAATAGTACAGATGTGAATATAATTCTGTGAATATGCAGAAACGTATTTATTCACAGAAGGAAATATATACAGTGCGTTCAAAATCTGTACGAGTTATAAAATAGTCATATTAACCTCGTTATGGTACATATTATTTTAAATTAATGAAAAAAAATTTTTTGCACAGTTTTCTGAATTCCGAGCTATTTCTGTAAAAAAATCAACGTCCTGCAAGGTACTTCTCTCTTTACTATATACAGTTATAACGAGATCTTTACAATTATAATGAGATTATTATCGGCATTTAATCATGCTTCACAATTAAAAATAATAAAGATTGAAAAGATTCAGTGTCTCTCCTTTTAGATTGGAAATAGTAGAGATAAATACATAGAAACGAAGTTATTCACAGTAAAAATATATACAGTACGTCCAAAAAATTCTGCACTGCTTATGATTATAAAATATCATATAATCACATTATAATACATATCATTTTAAATTAATGGAAAACAATTTTTTACACAGTTTTCTGAATTCCGAGCTGTCTCTGTAAAAAGAATCGAAACGCCGCAAGGTACCTCGCTCTTTGTATTTATATAACATTTGACAGTTACAATGAAATTATTATCGGCATTTAATCATGTTTCATGATTAAAGATGATGAGATAGAAAAGATCCCTGTCCTTTCAGTTTGAAAACAGAAATAAATACGCAAGGAAATTAACTATTTATTTATTCACGAAGGGAATATATAAAGCGCGTCAATATTAGATTCTGCAGTTGCGATAAAACGTTGTATTAATCACATTCGTTGTCACATTCGTTGTCACATTCTAAACTTACGGATAAAAATTTTTTACACGGTTTTTTTTTTTCAGAATTCCGAGCTATATTCGTAGAAAAATCGAAGTGTTGCGGAATTGTATCTCGTTTTTCTATAAATTTACGAATTTTTGTCGGGCTTTTCCCTCGCGCGAGAGGTGGTTCTCGTCCTGCTCGCGGAGCGTTTCTTCGGTTTTCCGCTCTCTAGAATTTCAAATAAACGTCAGAAGATAGAGAAGCGACTAAAGAAACACGTTTCGTTCCGACCTAAATCCTCGAGACAGTTTCCTCCCCCTCTCGATGTCGTTTACCCTCACGCGCGCGTCCTCCTCGCCACGAAGAAGAGTGGCGGAGCGTCGGAGCTGCAGCGTCGCAACGGGCCCAATTACGGGCCGGGCCGGCAATTTGCGGCATTAGCCATGCAACGAGATATCATTAGCCGGCCGGCTACTCCGCGGTCGACGGAGATGATACCGTCACGTCGGTCGTGCCGAGAGAGGGTCTCGCTTCTTCTCGCTCTGGCCGAGCCGGAGAAAACGAGCACTCCGCGCGCCGCGCCCGCCGCGGATCGCGCTAATGGCAACGTCTCGCGCACCGCGCGCGTTCCCGGAATCCGCCGGTAATCGTCGTAATTTTCTCTCGTCGCGTACCCCGTATAAGGCGGCGATGTCGTGGGACATTCGTTCGCCCGTGAGAAATCGAGCGCGACAACGTGACAACCGTTTCCGTCGGCCGGGAACACTTTCGCGAGAGGGACACACACGCTGTGTCCCACTGTGGGGCCCCTCCGACTCGGTTCATCCACCAGCTGCAAAAAGAATATGTAAAATCACACGGGCAAGTGTAAAAATCACTTGATTTACAACGGAAATGTTAAATACATTTGCATAAAAGATCGTATAATTTTTGATTGTTATTTGTATAATTTTACACTTTTTAAAGCGTAAATACGTAAATTACATGAACAAGTAAATATTACGCTATTTACAACGAAAATGTTATATACATTTTATAAAATATATGATTTTTTAATCGTTATTCATAATATAATTTTTTTGCTTTTTTACAACTTATATATAAAACAGACGGAAACGACGGACATTTATAAAAAAATCTGATCTTTCCGAAACCATACTTAATATAAATGTAATTTATAAATTTAGGAAAAAAGATTGTCATGATTTCATAGGACTTGGATCTTTTCAAGTCTGAAATTCCAAAAGTTGCAGGAAAAAATTTTTACAAATTTGGAAAAGAACGATATATGTAATAATACGATTGCCGCGATAAGTATTTCACAGCGATGAAATTTTGACGTGCTTTATACAATCTGTTTCTGTCAATAAATACGTATTTATATTCTGAGATATATATCAAGAATTTTTCAGTTTAAAAAGACAAGGATTAAATCCTTCCTTTCTCCATCATTTTTAAATTGTATGACATATAGTTAAATAATTAAATGACAGCGGTCTATCTGCTGTATGCAGGAGATAAAATACATTTTATATTCCGATCACTTTGGATATTTTTGTCGACGAACCGAAAGAGAGGGATGCGGATTTTTGCGGACAGTCTTGAATCTAGATAATTTGATTTAAAAAGATTGAAGGTACGATTTCATGCTGACACTCGACGCTCATTTTTAGCGTCAAAACAGATCACATGATCAAAATTGACGAATACCAAGCATCAATTTTGATCATGTGATCTATTTTGACGCTAAAAATGAGTGTCGAGCGTCAATATAAAAAGACACCTTTTTTTTTAGACGCGTTGCGCTCGGGTAAAATTTCTTCTTTGTTTTTGATTCGATAAATTGTCGCGGATAAATTCATTTATTTCAATGTCAAATAATACGCGAGAGAGAGGTGATGCGCTCCCATATGAGGGAAAGAAACTAAAAGTGGCCTTGAAAATAATTTGCAAAAACGCACACGCGCACTGCAGCGATCAATATGGATGGCTGTACCGAATTATTCACGACGACGAAAAAATTGCAATTGATCCGTCGGCGGCATGAATATTTAAAAGAAGGGGGATGAAATTTGCCCGTTAAATATTTGTTGCGTTTTAAATTTAGATTTTCAAGCTGCACCTCACGATGAGAGTCGCCGTTCGGGGAAAACGATTATGTTTATCTCGCGTTTCTGAAATACACGTTGCACCGTTGGATATTCGGAAACTCCTGATTGCGCCTAATTCTCGCTAATTTTCTAAGCGCGCAAATTCCACCGCGTCAACGTTGCTACGGTCTACCTTCAACGCGGCGAGAAACGACTCGATTAAGCGACAATCATTTAAACGATCTCGATTAAGCGACATCTGCAATTATTTTATCGATCGTCGGGTCTTAATTGTCGCGGAGGCTAATTCCGCCGCGCGTTCGCCGTTTCCACATCCCTCCTTCCCCTCGCTCCTCGTATTTTGCGTACGCGCGCGCGATCCGATTATAAATAAACGTCAGAATTACGGTAAAGCCAAAGGGCGACGTTCTAACCGATTTAACCGCCGTCCCCTCTCTCCCCCTTTGTCCCCCCTCACGGCCCGTCATATAAGCGACCATTATGGCGCACATTATTTACTACTATGGGACATTTTGCGCGCATAATGGATGCGCGCGCGCGCGCGCGCGAGATAACGATTTAATCTATTTCTCGAGTGAACGGTTACGCCGCGGCTGCCGACTTCGCGCGGGAATAAATTTCGAGTAAACGGAAGCGATAATGCGCGAATTATTACGGGCGTCTCTTCCCCCTCCGCCGGAACCCCTATCTCTCAACCTCATCATCCTGTTCCACTTAAAACTCCCCGGGATCGCACGGTTCGAGGAGAAGAGCGTCAAATTTCTGTTTTATATTCATAAGGAGCCGCGAATCTTTTCTTCCCTCCCTCCCTTCTCTCTCGTCCTTTTCCACACTTCGCACGTGTCCCCTTATTGAAGAGCTATTTAATCTCTGTCCCGAAAGTTTGTCTGATCTGCGGCAAGATCGAGCGAGCGCGATAACCTGCGCGGTCCCTCAAATCCCGTTCCCGAAATCATCCCATCGATTTCGGAAGGTTCGATGATCGATCGGAGGATGACAGATCTTGTGATTCCAACGTTCGCATATATAACTTGTGTTTTTCAAAAAGCCCGGGCTGCTTCTTAACCCTCGAACCTTTATGAAAGAACTCAAACAACAGTTTTCTTATGAACTATAGTCTTATGAATACAAATCGCGAAGATATAACTTAAGGGAGGGATAGGAGAATTGTATGGTTAAATTGGAGGCAGCGAAGTTTTTTCAGGACTAAATGGACACAATATAAGTCCGTTTAGGTGCTATTTATTACTTTATTTAAGACGTAGAAAATTAATTTATAAAATTAATTAAAAATACAAAATGTGCAAGATTAATTAGAAATATAGGAGTTTTCTATATGTTGTTGAAGACAAGCCTGAAGATTTCGAGTTTTACCACGATTTCGTGATTTCAAAGGCAGCGATCTGCTATTTTTTAGTTTAGATTTTTTTCACGATACTCTTTGCTCTACAGATTGAACCTAAAATAGGTACTAAAAAATGTTATTACAATTAATGATAACTACACAAATAACTTTTTACGCGAAAATTAAAGTTTTACGTTTATGTTGTTACTATTTCATAATAACATTTTTTAGTAGTACGGTTCAGTAATCTATTTCAATCTATAGAGTATAAAGTGTTCTGAAGAAAACTGGACCAGAAAATGGCAGATTACTTTCTTAGAAATTGCGGAATCGTGATAAAACGCGAAATTTTAAGGCCTATCTTTAATGTGACAGAGAAATCTTATATTTTTAATAAGTTTCATATTACAAATTATGCATGCCAAATATAGTAGTAAATAACACCTAAACGAAGAACCCGTGTCGATTTATTCCTTTCCCTAATAAATAAATTCGTAAATTTCACTCTCAATTTGTCCGTACAAATCTCTCGCCCTTAAGATCTCTACGAAAATTATCCGGAGTAATTAAAAGAGCAGATAGATTGACGGACGAGTTATTTTATCTGTAATTTTATCTCCCCTTAAGATTTCTACGAAAATTATTCGGAACAATTTAAAGTGCAGATAGAGATTGACGGACAAGTTATTTTATCGGTCCGAGGGTTGAACTAACCCTTGTTACAACCCTTGTTTGCCCCTCGTTTGATTTAGCTCGGCCCAGCTGACGGGCTGAGGAGGAAGTGCGCGCCGAGAGTAATCACGAAACCGCATGACTATGCATTGCAGACGGGAAGGAATGCGACGCCCTGGTGTGCTACCACGAGAAGGACTCGAGCCTGGTGATCGGTATCGTGATACCCACGCTGGAGTCTAGGCATCGGTACAAGTGCGCGGCGCTGGAGTTGTCTCAGCTGAATCACAATTGTAAGTATACCCATGGCCGGTGCCGTGGCGTTAATTAGCGGCGACGACGATCTTTGGTCTCTCTCTCTCTCTCTCTCTTCTCTCTCTCTCTCTCTCTCTCTCTCTCTCTCTCTCTCTCTCTCTTTCTTGTTGGATAATTACGTAGTCGCAGCGACAGCTACGGATACCCACGGAATACGAGAGTGTACACCACTTCGGCAGGCACCTGTGCTCCTTTTCCTCCTCGATCCCTCGAGTCATCCTTCAATCTTCCCCTCAATGACACTCGTCTGTCGTTTTCAAGGATATCAGAGAAAAAGATTTTTCGAAGGTTTTTCCTGTATTGATTCACCGTCAGTCTAGCTCAGATTTTGTGACGTCAGAAGCGAGAAAATAAAAATTGTTGCAGAACAATTTTTATTATATTTTTAATTATATTCAAACTGAAATATTTTTCAATAAAACAACATATTTTTTCCAGGAAGGAGCGGGAATAACTCACAAAATATACCGAAAACTATTTTTTATTTGTATTTCGGGGAGCAATTAAATCATATTTAATAATTTATAATGAAACTCGCAATAAATTCTTCACAGTGGTTTAAAGATTTTCATTAACATCGATATTATTAAATTGCTAGTCAGTTTATAATTTGCGACATCACGTACTTCAGTTTCAATTTAGGACGATGTTTTAAGACCGATAAATGAATAATCGGGCGCGCAGTTTGCAAAATCTGGAAGTTGTAGAAATTTACACAAAAAATATTATTAAACATCAAAATCCGCTTTGACTGATAAAAGCGCTCTTCACTTATTCGTGTTATCTTTTCGGTCCATTTTCCACTTATTATTATGTTCATAAATCATATTTATTGAAGAGCTATTAAGAGTTAAATCATATTTATTTCTATATACATTGTTAAATACGAAAGGAGCCAGCTATAACTCAATTCTTTGAGTTAAATAACATTTCGTTATTTTTAACTTCCATGTCAAAATGTATTATTTTAACACGAAAAACATATGATTAAAAAAACAATCACATTTAATTAATCCATTTTTGTGATTGAATTTCTTCATATTAACTATATGTATTTAATAAATATAAATTTGAGTTAAATTTAGCATTTCTTGAGTTAAATTGTTTAACTTCATAGTTTTATTTAAATTAACGACATATTAAGTAGGAGCAGTGGCGACTTACAGGAATGATTAAAAATAACTCAAATTGTACGTACGTATGTACGATATATTATGACTGCGTTCGCTTTGGCGTTTCAGCAGCACTCACTGCATCACTTTGTTGTTTATCAAATGTTAAACAAGAACAAATGAGCTGAAGGCTTGTAAGTGCTGAAAGTGCCAAACCGAACGCAACCTATGTATGGATGGATATAATTTGATATCACGAATTTAACAGGATTATTAATTTGAAAGGTAGTTGTCATTGCTGCGAGCTTTTGTCGCTTTTGGTTATACATAGATAATCATTTGTTTCCAAAAATATATATGGTTAATTATTAATTAACGAAATAAAATGGAGAGGTTTCAGTATATTTTATAAATCGATTCTATCGACCGTAAGTGTTGTTTTTATTGAAATGCACTTTCACCTTTAGTATATTAATTCGCAAGAATTTTTATTGTTGTATTTTCTCGCTCTTGACGTCACAACCTGAGATAGTAGTGGTAAGTAAGCAAGGGACCTCTTAAATTATTTCGTCTCTTCTTCTTCTCGAAGAGTCGTCTCACTGGAACCGCCGGCGAGAGAGTCGCTCCACGCAAAGTTCCAAATCTCCTTCGCGAATTTGCGCGTTATCGAATTTGTAACCCCCGTAAACGTCGCAAGTAAGGGAGAATGGGACGAAGACGGAACGGAACGCGTTTCGTTCGCGACACCGAGTACGTGCAGTTCAGTAGCAACGACACGAAAAAGATCCTTATCGCGTTACATAAGGAATGAGAACTCTTTTCGAAAACAAAGAGACGGAGACGCGGAGCAAAATGGAAAGGAGAAATTGAGGGAGAGAAAGAGGGAGGGAGAGAGAAACGTCGCATCGTGCGCTCGATGGGGTTCCCTACGGGGTTTACTTTGCGGCGCATCCCGCGGCGATGCGGCCCGCATGCGGCGAATATAAGCGCTAGCCGAAAGGAGCGGGAGGGGAGGGGGGGGGAAGAGGGAAGCCGCAGGCGGGAGATATATACGTATACGCGAGACCGAGAGCGCGGGTGAATATTCAGCGGCGGCGAATGTGGGCCGCGAATTGCGGTATTCGATATAAAGTAACTTTACGGGTGAGTATAAGGGAAGCGGGAGGGGGGCACGCAGCTTATGAATTAGAGCTAAATAAAAGCTGCTCTTCTCGCCCACGATCACGAGGCGGAAATCGGATTAGCCGTCGGGAGATAATACGGCGGACAGGGAAGGGGGAATATTATCGATCACGCGGTTTTCCGTCGGGAGATGAAGCGGAGTTAGAGAGGGCGCGTAATAAGGACACGCGCGCGCGCGCGCGCCCCTCGTGGGCGATTCAATTAAGAATGCGGATGCCGAATTAGGCTGAAAATCAAATGCGATGCACCGCGAGAGGAGGGATATACGGACCGGAAATACCTTGGGGAATACTAATCGTTGTTATTTATATAGACTCGAATTTAAGTGAATTATAAAACATCATCGAATCACACGAAGTGCAAATAACGAAAAAGTCGAGATACAAGATTCAAATTGAGAATATGAAAGTTTCAAAATCTGTTTTAATATAAACATTTTTAGAGTACGAGACCGTTGTTAACTATTTTAATGTAATATTTTTTTATTCAAAAGCATTACGGAATTACTATTATTATTATTATTTGTATTGAATTAAATTAAAGTTGATTATAAAACAATATCAAATTGCAAAACGCAAACAATGGAAAAAGAAAAAAAAATTTAAATTAAATCTAATTTAAATTAAAAATATAGAAATATGTTAATTATACTATAATATATCAGAAAGTGTTAAGCATTAATCTATTGTGAATCGAAGATTTTAAGTATATATGAAACCGATTTTAATTTTTATAATATAAATTTTTTTTATTTAAAAGCATTACCTGAACTGCAATCATTATTTATATAAATTGATTTGAAGTGGATTGTACATACAAGATCATAGAATTATGAAGTGCATAAGCGATAACGTAAAAGAAATATAATTGAATTTTTTTTCAGAATTTAAAAACGTAGAATGTTATAGTTGCATCGAAATTTATTTCGGTATAGAAATTGTAAACATATAAAATTGATATTAAATATTTTTTATTTAAAAGCATTATGAATTACACATTTATTATTTACATGAAATGATAAAGTAGATTAAAAGATCATCGAATCGTGAAGGGCAAACGGAGGAATATAATTCAAATTGAGAGTTTTTAAGAACATGAAATGTTAATTACATCAGAAATGTTAAAAGCTGGTAGTTTTGGCACGAAGATTTTAAAAGTACAAAACCGATATTAATTATTTTAATAGAGTGTAATTTTTTTTTCAAATTTAAAAGCATCGCAGAGATATATTATTTCCCTTTCATCATTATTCGAATACCAGCACTCACGCGCTGAAGAAAATCGCGATATTCCCGCGCGAGATTTCGAGTTTATTTCTTGAAATTCCTGAAATTACTGAAATTACGTTACCGTGAACATACCCAATTACGCGTGCGTAGATCCCTAAACCACAAAGGCATGCAATTGGATCGAATTTCGCGTTGAAACAGGGAAGCCAGCAAAATACAGGTCGTTCTCTCTCCTTTTGTTCTGCCGCTGGCAGTCCGATTGTGGCATCGAAACCACGTGGATAACACAATGTGGGGCAATCTCTCATTTTCTCTCTCTCTCTCTCTCTCTCTGCCTCTCTCTTTTTTTTCGCTTCTCACGCGATGGCTCGACGATTCTGCTACCACGTGGTAGCGCGCATGGGTATTTGTCGGGGCAATTTATTTCAGCAGCACAAAGATGATTTGCAACCCGGCAGACCGATCACGGAAAGATCGGCCGCCGTGGTCGTGGGATCGTTGTCCTCGTACATGGGAACGAGCGCCAGGGTGGAGGAAGGAGAGGGAGGGGCGGGGGGAGAGAGGGGGTGGTCCTCTCGTGGTATAACCGGAAGTGATGGGGAACCCTATGGCGAATCGTGGGAATCTTGGCAACTTGGCAAATTGAATTAGAAAGTTCGCCGCTCTCTCGGCCGCGTGTGGAGAGCGTGTCTCGTTTGTCTCCGCGGTATCGAATTAGGTGCGCGCCGGAGATGTCCCGTGTGTACGACCGCGCGATATTTTTGAGTCGCGAAGTTGTTGGCGAGGGATATAGGCGTGAGTGCCAAGGAGGTCGCGTGAACAGGAAGAAGTGCAGTGGCGCGAATCACGAGGAACATATCCTGTGCATTAAGGCAGGTGGAGGAACGAAGGGGGAACAGGTGGTTTGTATATAGGCTAAACTGTGGAGGTAAAATTGGTGAATTTATGTTTCGGGGAAAGAAATAAATGAACACGATTCTCCGTTCAGGATTTACTTGCTACTAAATATATTGAAATGTAGAAAATTAATTTGTAGTACGAAACTTATTAGAGAAACAATTTAATAAGTTATTTTCCGTCTTTGAAGATAAGCTTGAAAATTTCTAGTGTTCCGCGTTTCGCCACAATTCCGCAACTTCTAAGAAAGCAATCGACTATTTTCTGGTCTAGTGCTCACAGTAGACCAGACGGGAGTAAAAATAAAATACGAATATAGCTAACTGAAGTAATTATATCAATTTGAAATAGCTATCAATCGGGATGAAAAATGTAATTACGGTATCTTGCATCCGCATTGTCAAATTAATTAAATCATTGTCAAAATTTACGAAGAAAACGACCTGTAGTGATTATCGAACGGAAACAGCCCAATCGAGAAATATAATATCTTATGGTATTTTTATTCACATTGTCAAATCGGGCGTACGTTACGTTGATTTAAATCTGGCAAAGATATAAAAATAACGAATAACGTAAATTAAACTCACCAATCACCAACGGGGACGAGAGATCTAAAGAAGAAAAGATATTCCATGACGGTCTTGGACCGTCGAAAAAAAATCTAGAGCTGAATGTCACTATATAAAGCGAAGGAAAAGTCTCGCCAACACGTAAAGAACGATTTTGCTGGAAAATCACAAAATTTGGATCTGAAAATAATTTTGTTAGACTATTAAAATAATTTTGTTGAAAACTCAAAAATGATAAGCATAATTGCTATAAAAAGTTTTCATATTCCAGCAATCAGTTAGCGACTTTCCAACAAAATTATTTTGATGGCCCAACAAGAATTATTTTCAAATCTGTATCCAGCAAAATTATTCTTTCCGTGAAGAAGATTATTGTAGACAATTATCACAGCTAAGCATTTGTTACTATTTTTTTCCAATTACTCAACACTCGGTTATTCCATCCTAAGCCGATCACTCCATACGCAGAGTGCGTGTATGCGCTCTAGCTGCAGTTTACACGCGCCCAATGTGCCGCGAACGATCCAGCCAGCTTGCAACTCTCTCCCAGATTGCGCGCCTCCGCTCTCAGACAACATTAGTTCGTGCTGATTACAATCGTCCGATTAGCCGACACGCTCGTTACCTTACCGCTTTAAGCCGATTGCGCCGAGAGCGTCGAGTGCGTTCTATCGTTCTCCAATGGGGGTGTGCGATCAGGGGTAAAGCGTATAACCCCCGTACGCGGGTCAAACGCCCCTGCCCTCCCGGTTCCGCGCATTCCCCCGGTCCTGGTACCCGTGCACGCACCTTGGCGCACACGGTGTACGTATACCCTCTGCTAATTACGACATCCCGAATTACGCGGCTTATGACTTTACGTCTGGCCTGCGCATGATGGCCGCCGCTGCCGCCGCCACCGCCGTCGAGTTGCTCGCGGAGGGACGTAGCGAAAGGGGGTATACGTACCCCGGGGTTTAACACGTGAACTTCGGAGCGGCGGTCCGGCTGGTCGGCCGGTCCCGACGTTTGACAGTCAATGAACAAAGTTCCGCTATCAAAGCGACCGGGACTTGGCGTATCCGCAGGGGGGGGTCTCGTGATTTTCTCCCGCGGTATACGCGACCGTTGGGCTGCGGCAGGTAAGGGAGGGGGGAGGAGAGGGGCAAACCTCGGAAAGTTTCGACTCCACGAGTGACGATGATGAGCCAATCAGCCCTCGAAGGCCCGGGCCGTGTCCACCTGCGGTCCGATTAATCCCAGCACTTACTGCGGGATCTTCGTTCGACCTCGGCAATTTGAATTTTGATGGAACTCGGGACGCGCGTACGCACCGGGTCGACGTCCGTCGTTCACGGTCTGCACGGATCGAGTCAATCATCACGATGTCGCGACGGGGATTTTTGTCGAATTATGTTAACTGGTTTTGCATCAGCGCGCAACTCATCAAAGTCGTAATTCGCAAATCGATTCTTCGGATTGGTTTTGGAAAATATCCCCTGAGGCCCGATTCCACGGACGTAAGATTAACTTTAATCTTGGTTTAACTTCTGAACTACTGTTTATCTCTTTCCAATTCTTAGATTGGAAAAAGATAAAGCGAGCTGAGCCTCGGTTAAATCGAGTTGATCGCGAATTGTGAAACCGGGCCTGAACTGGAAATCTCGCAAGAGTTACTCAGATCAGAGTCGATGCGGCAAAGATTAAGTTAACCTCTATAAAAAAATCGAGCTAGATTTAGATGTCAAAATAATTGTGTTGGACCATTTAAATAAGTATATAAGACGCCCAAGCTGATTGTTGAAAATGTCGAAACCCAAGTTTTTTTTGCATTATCATCATCATCATCATGCTTGAATGTCCTATATGATTATTTTGATGGTCCAAAATAATTATCTTCAGATTTGTATCAGATTACATCTATATTTTTCCAGCTGCTTCAAACAAAATTTTAAAGAAACTGCAAAGGATTTTTTAAAAGGCTCTATAGAATATTTAATAGCTCTTTTTTTTATTTTTGTGCGGAAAAAACGACTAAGCTGGAAAAATTTAGCTCGATACAGGTTTGAAAATAATTTTGTTGGATCAAAATAATTTTTTTTGTTGGAAATTCAAACTAATTGCTAGAATATCAAAACGTTTTACATAAGCAATGCACTTTTTTTTAAGTTCCAACAAAACTATTTTCAAATCTGTATACAGCAATTTTTAAATTTTCAAGCAAAATCATTCTTTCCGTGTGTGAAAAAAAGTATGTCGCGCAACGACAGAATCATGCCAATGTCTTCTCTCGAGACACATCTCTCAAACATATTCCTTGGGGCTTGCAATTTGACGAAACGCGTTTCCCAAATTGAGTTACTTCATTACTACTCTCGATGCTGACTAGCTGTCTATCAGAGAACCTTAGCGAAATAGATAAATAGAGAGAGAGAGAGAGATAGAGAGAGAGAGAGAGCACATTATTTTCTCAATTAGTTTCTGATGTAATACCGATAATTTTAATCAAATCCCGCGGATTTGCACACATACAAGCGCTCACACCTCGACACCCCCGCTTCATTCGGAATTAACGAAGTTTTCCCTGGGAAACAATGGCCGCGTACAACGGCGGTGTCTATTCGGTCGATCAGTTTTTGCTAAGCTAAGCTCGCCCTGTGCATCAAGGCCGGATATACACGGTGGCGCGCGGTGTAACTCATACATTATCCCCGGCTGGCAGAGGCAACCTTTTCTCTTCGCTTCTCCCCCCTCCCTCCCCCTCTTGCCCCGCCGGCTCTTTTTATTGCTCGCGCCACGCCACCGGTTTGCTTTCACTTTATCGCTCGTGAAATCCAACCGTCCGCCCCGGCGGCGGACAATATTTTCAGAGTGCCACTGGGGGAGAGTGTATGTATACGTGCAAAATTCAGCGCGACGTCCACCCCCGAGTTGTCTCTGTAACCGGACCGCGAACGTTCCACCGCGGGCGGGGGGGGGGAGACAAAAATACTGCGACTCTTCTACGCGAAAATTGAGATTTATCCGAACACTTCCGGTGGTAGTCGTACGATAACTGATTCTCAAATATCTGACTGTCGAGAAATTATCGGGGAATCTCTTAGCTTAGAAAAACCGTACCGTCCGAGTTGTTCAAACAACAAGGAACAATGATTCTGGAGGAAGAAAGATTTGAGATGGTTTTTTTATTTACGTGAAAAAGATTTTTAAAAGATTAGGAATAATCTTTAAAAGATTCTGATTGTGAGAATTGAAATTTTCTCTTTTCTGAATTTTACTGAAGCTTAAAATTTTAATTAAAATTAAAATTTTTGTTCTTAAATCCAGCTCTAGAATCTCACAATACAATTTCTTTTTAATTCTTAAAAAGAATTTAATTATATGAAAACACAAGAGTTATATGCAAAATAAAGAATCAGTGAAACCAAGAGATTATCTTAATTGTCAATTCTGATATTAATTTTTTTCTTTGAATTTTTTTCTGAAGCTCGCAAATTAAAATTCTTATTCTTAAATCCAGCTTTGAATCTCACAATACAATAATTTCTTGGAAAATTTCGTTTAAATCCTTAAAAAGTATTTAATTATAAAAGACGCAAGACTAGAATTATATTAAAAAAAATTGAATTAGAATTACTGAAACCAAGGGATTGTATTAATTGTCAATTATAATATTAGTTTCTTCCTCTGAATTTTTTCTGAAGCTCGCGAGAATTTAAATTCTAGTTTAAATCTTTCAATGCGGTCTTTCTTCAGTTATTGAGAAAGATTTAATAACACAAAGATATAAGACTAGAATCATATAAAAAATAGAATGGAATTAGAATCATTAATTGACACTAAGATTATGTTAATTATTAATTATAATATCAATTTTAATATTAAATATTGAATTAATATTGAAAATGAAATATTAATTGTTAATTATAATATTAAATATTAAATATACAACATGCACATTGAGAATATAAAAAAGATATATATCTCAATGTTGAAAATAATCTTCTTTAACCGCAAGTCTTCAACAACTTTGTGATTGCTTCGCAGGGAGCCTGGAGATCAGTCCGCACGCCAGCACGGCCCGGCGGATCATCGTCGTGCTCAGCCCGGCTTCCCTGGACAACATCTGGACGGACGCGAGCGTGGGCGCGGTGCTGAATCAGCTGTCCACGCTGCCGACCCGGACGATCGTCGTCACGTTGAAGCGACTGCCGAGCACGACGGCGACGATCGCGAAGCGATCGCGGCGGGACCGCCGCGACACCGACAGCACCTCCTTCGACCGGCTGACGTTCCTGTTCTGGCAGGACGGCGGCGGCGGCGGCAGTAGTGGCAGTAGTGGCGACGGCGGCGGCGGTTCCGGTAACGGCGGCCGCAAGTTCTGGTACAAACTCAGGCTGGCGATGCCGGCGATGCGGCCGGTGGCGTCCGAGACCGGCTGCCAGTCGGTCGCGATGATAGTGCAGGCCAACGGCAAGTGCGGACAGCAAAAGGCGCGCTCGCGCGAGAGCCTGGAGGTGCTCGTCTAAACGGGGTCGTCACCGCGCGGAGCGATGAACCCTCGTCCTCGCGGACCAGCGGTTCCCCCGGCCGCGGGAGCGAGTCTCTCTCGACGCGACGTCTCCACACCACTCCGATAATTGCCAATCCTCGAATCCCCAAGGGGCGCAAGAGAAGGGTCCCGAAGTCGCGTCCGCGCGATCCCGATTCGGAGGATCCCCGCGTGAGGAAGCTCCTCGCTTTCGGTCATCAACTCGAATCGGCGGAAGAATTGCGTGGCCACCTCGACTTCGGCGAGACTGGAGTTCTTTCGGCGGCAGCCTCGGAAGCCTGAAGGATCCCCCTCGTTCGCGACGTCGACTCTCGAAGATGAGAGCCGCGCGAGGCGAGAACGTGTCGAGTCCGACGATCCGAATCGCGGGCTCGGGTCTCTCATTTTAGAATTGTTATTCCGAGTCGAGAATTCCGCGATAGGAATCCCGTGCGATCGTCGTTCTTGATTCTTGAAGAAGGGGAGAAAAAATCGCGGTGGGGCTCATCTTTTCCGAGCTCGATCGGCGAAGCGGTGTGCAGGGACTCCGAGATTGGAAGGCACCGGCGCTGTCGGTCTTTTCTTCGATCCGCGGAGGTTTCGAGTTATAAGTGAGACGCGAAACGGGAGGCGCGTCGCGACTTTGTGACGTGTTATCACGTTGCGATCGATTTTCTCTCGCGAATCGCGTCGAGATTGGAAAGCAAATTCGATTTAACGTCGCGACGTCGCGACGCGCGCGGCTGCACCGCGCGAAATGGAATCAAATCAAGCGGTCCCCGAGAATCCCCATCCCGCGGTACCTCTCTCACTCTCTCTCTCGCGCGCGGTAGCGCGATTCTCCCCGCGAGAATTCTTCGGCGCGAAATTGCGAACTTCTCAGCCTTAGATCTTCCCATCTCTGGATCCTCGGTCGGGCGAGCTCGAGCCCTGGTGAATTAGGGAGAGGGATTTCGTTGAAAAACTCGCGCGAGAATCTCCGCCGCGCACCGGGATACGCGATCTCTCGCGTGTACATCTTGATTGCTTCTCGAATATCCTGCAGCCGGCGAACATCCTGCATGGAACTGCACTATATTATGAAAGCGCTGCAGTTAAGGAGGAAGGCGCCTAAACGGGGGATCGCGAAAAGCAACAGCTTGCAACTGCTGCATCGACGTGGCAGTGCGAACGGCGGCGCGAAGTGTGGATTCGCTACTCGTGGACGAAGTTCGCGGCGTTCGTGATAAGTTCGATGGAAATACGTTGGAGATATGGGAAAGGGAGGGGGGAATCTTTGTATAATACAACTTTTTTTATCGTCTGAGCGATGAATTTTTGATAAGATGTAGAAATTGGAAAATATTCCGGGACTACATAGAAGCGTACAGAGGCGGAAGGGACGAAGGATTTTTTCGGTGGGCGTGCTAATCAGCGAAAGTGACGTTCGATCCTTTGCGAATGCGAATGTCTTTTTTAATGCGTAGGTTTTTTACGTAAGAGCTCGAAAGTTTTTAATTTTTTACATATCTCGTGATATTTATTTCGAACTGAAGAGATCACGAATTATTTCCTTTCACCGGTTGACGCGTCGGCGTGGAAGGGCTCTTTTAGGGACAATATCAGGAAACGACTGAGAGGATACACATGGTTGGAAATTCTTTAATCATTGAATTTTCAGACTTTTTGTATCTTAGAGGCTCGCATCTTGAACTCGAAGCTATAAATCTTTAAATCTCTTCGGGGATCAGATTCTTTTGAATTCCTAGGCTCTGAGTTCGAAATTCTTGCTTACAAATTCTCATTTCTCGCGCGAGAAACAAGAAATTGTCCGCGCGTCTTCGTGAGGTTTTAAATAAATATATTAAGATGTGATAATCAAAAGGAGACGAGGACTCTTGGACAACTCGACGCTTATCTCTGTTTGCTGAATTGACGACACGAAGGGTAGCGATCGGAGGGATCCTTTTAATCCTTGAACTCTTGGATTCTTTAAATCTTACCATCCTTGAAGCTTTGGCTTTAGGGATCATTGTGTGGATTTAGAGATTATCCACTGAAAAAATTTACCGAAATTTAATTTTGCGAAAAAGTTTGATAAAAATTAAATTTGGGTAAATTTAAAAAAAAGGCCAAATTTTTTAAAATGTAGTAGTCAAATTTTGTAAATTGCTCTAAAATTTCTTTTTATATAAAAAATTAACTGTTCACACTGTTTGTTTCAAACTGTGCAAGTATATCCTCTCTCGCTTAGGGCGTTTGTTTTAACCTTATCTTCCTCTATTTCGTAATAGAAGGAGATAACTCTATTCCACTGTTGCATTTTTATTTTTATTTTTACAGTTTCCTTCCGCGATACAATTTCTTGTAAATTGTTATATTGTTATATTTCGTTATCTGTGCCGTTTATACAGGAAAGATTCAACAATTAGCACTGAAATTAACATTTAAAAAAAACGGGAAATTCGATATTTGTATAAAAATTAAACGATTCAAAATTCCTAGCGTTCTAGGAATTTCAGGATGCAATCCTAATAATTTTTTAGCGTATGAAACTTTCGCGAGTTTTTGAATCAGCGAGAGTGCGAAACTCTAAACAACGGAATAGATTTAATTAAATAAACAACAATAGATTTAATTAAATAAACAACGGAAACTTGCAAACTCTAAACAACGGAATAGATTTAATTAAATTTCTCGGGAATAATTAATGTAATTAACTGGATGAGATGACACAATTTTTTAAAATATATATCAATACTGTGTACGAAAAAAATTTCTCTTTGTAAAACGATTTAAATACCTCCGGCAGGGGGGCCTATTTGCTTTCCACAATCGACGATCGATTTCGTTATCCCAGAGCATTCCGACTGTTTCCGCAAAGGGCGGAAAGGAGAGCGGAGAGATGGAATCGCGCAGTCTTCCTTCTCGCGAGCGGTGATGATAGGCTTCATTACCAGGCTTTTTTTTCCGTTATCACTGGCGTTCCATTATTCTTTCTTTCTTTCTTTTTTCTTCTTATTTTAACGCGCTTACCGCCGCCGCTGTTCTCTGTACATATACTGGGAGTTTATATTTATTTAGCTAGTTGTGTTATTTATACACGTACCCTCGCGTAAGTTTTAGTAGAGCAACCCTTTAACCGGTAAAATACAATCTCTACAGTTCCGTTCCCGAGGCGACTGAAAAGGATCTAATTCGAAGAAATTCGAGGATCTAAAAGAATTCGAATCCGCACGCGCCGTCTGGGTGGTTTGACACGTTGACTGCCTCGGTGATCGCCTAGTGAAATTTTTCGCGCTGCCGAAATTTTTTAAAACACTCGTTTCTAAAAAAAGAACATTTAAAATTATAATTTTAAATGACATAATAACTGGATAGCAAAGCTAGATAAAATGCACAATATGCTGTCTATGAGGATAAGAAAGACTTTTAATCGTATCACACAATATTTTATGATATTTTATAAATGTTATCATATCTTTAGTCTTTATAGACCTCTACATATTTTTATGACAATGAAAAGTCTATAACTGTGGCGTAAGCGATACGAAAAATCGCTGGGCAGGCAGCGCGTTAAACAACTCGACATTCGATATAAAAATAAAATCTCAAAGTCCCAATCATATATCGAGACATGTGCAGAGCATACGTTGTTGCATTTATTTATATATTTTATCATATAATTTATATCGAGAACTTTGTGTGCGCACACGCAGATATACCGGTTAAAGGGTCCACGCGATCTGCGGAGTCGCGCTGCCGGCGCGGCGCGTCGTTTTTCCGGGCCCCTTCCGGCGGTCCTCCGTTAACGCTCGACACGCACGGCCAGATACAATCTGGCCGCCCGTCTCGTCGGTACGGTTTAACGTGTAAGCGTTTTATACTGTTTTATATATTCGTATATGTGAGAGGGGGGGGGAACGCTCCTCGAGTCCTGTCCTCGGGAGCTCCCCGGGCGCACAATCGGTGTCAGTAATCGTTGCTTGTCGCAATTCATCTCCGGGCAGCGAGACGGGAACGACTCGCTGCTTTAAATTCCCTCCGGATCTCCCCCGGAAACACCCCTTACACCCCTCGGATGTGTTTTCCGGATCTCTCGCTTGTGCGAAGTCGCGAGATTCGGAGGAGAGGGAGGCCTCTTCCGTTTGCGGAAGTCGTGGTCCTAAATTCGCCAAGCCTGATTTTAATCGCCGGAGCTCGGAGAGTTCGCGTATACGCGAGCTCGCATGAATTTCGATCGATATGTTCTATCTATATTTTCTCATATCGCCATCGCGTTTAGAGTTCGTCCCACTTTCCAATGTACAACTCACAATCCTCAGCCATATTATTAGACGCACGGATCTTTTGGCAGATTCGGCCCGAACTGCCGGAAATGTGGCGACTATTGTATTTTTATATTTTATTTAAAGTAGAGTCTTTTTTTCCTCTCGTTTGGACATCTTCAGTTAATGGAAACACACAGTTTTGTGTAGTATTCATCAAATAAAAAAATATACATGTTTTTTTTATTAATACCTCGTTATGCCATCGTTGGCAGCTATTAGAACCAATTGATTCTAATAATAAATTCAAAATTCACTTACGATAAATGAACAAGTAAAACGAAAATCCGTGTGAGAAACGTGTGAGCTTTTCTTGCTGTCGCTAACCGGTTCATACCTTTTTCCTGGACAATTGCGACAAGTGAACTGTAAAACGAATGCATCCGTTCTACAGGCCGCGGTTTTCTTCGCGTACATTAGAATTGTAAGTCCGAATTCAGTCCGAGAAATTGTAGAAAAGTTGCGTCTAATAATACGGTTTGGGGGCCTGTAAACGGTTCGTTTGTATCCGTGACAGTGTTATAGGTATACGACGTCTCCTTCCGCGAAGGGGGAAGATTTGAAGCTATCGCTGTCTCCGTTTATATATATTTATTCGGAGATTTCTGCCCTCCGAGGGAGGACAGGGGCGCGCGCCAGTGCACCGCGCGATTTATTTGTGTCCTCGGTTACCTTGGGATTAGTTTATAAACCGCACGCAAATCCGGAGGAACTTTTCGCATAGATGGTACCGCATACACACCACCACCACCACCACCACACATACATGCGCGAGAGCGACGACAACAATAATGATAGAGTAAAGGATAAATGTTATCTGTATAGCTATTTTATCGTGATTATAACTTAGACGATCGAGCTGTGGTAGAGAAGGGGGGGGGGGAGGGAGGGAGGGGGAGAGCAAGGGGGTGAGCTTAATTTTTAACGTTGATAGCGATTATTCTCTTTACTGTCAGTATTACGACACACTAGTGTACTCGTCTCGCCGGGATACCGGCAAGGATCATTGCAAAGGATAATCTTGCGAGCCGAGTAAGCAGAGTATATAGATGTAGAGCTATATTTGAACGGCCTGTTTCGCGAAGGGGCAGAGGAAAGGGGGGAGGGGGAGGGAAACCGAATTGATTTCCCGGAGGTAGTAGGACGCTTATCGTCCTCCCTCGAATATCTGGGGTATCCTGAGAGGCCAAACCGAGAGCTTTGGCCAGGGAGACCCTTGCACAAATCAAGGATCGCTTATTGGGACTGGATCCAAGGAAAACAAGATTTTCAGTCGAAATATATCAGTAAATTTAATCAATATTAGCCGCAGAAATATTTATAAATTTAATTAAAATTCTCATTCCAATATTTTTTATTTATTCCACAATTAAAAATTCCATTCCGAGTTCGAGAAATTTCGAAAATTTTTATATTTCAATTTTTTTTGTTAAACTATCGAATACAATAACAACAAATAACGCGCGATTTAACGAATAGAATGATTTAATTAATTTAATAAAATCTAAGAGGGCATCTGACAAATAAACAAGTTCCTTTCGCAAGCAAGCCGTTCGTTCTTCTTTTTTTTTTGTAACTTTTCTTACCGGTCTTATTGACGCGCATTGTTCTTCGCTGCCGATAAGACGAACAATTTTACTTACTTAACTAATTAGTCTTTGTATTTCGACAATAAAGTCTCTCTCTCTCTAGTGTCCCAGAAGTAGCGCGGGACTTGCGTAACGTTCTTCTTTTTACTATAGAATAGCTTACTTGACAGAACGACGCGAAGACGAAGTCGGAGAGGTGGAGTCGTGTATTAATAATTCTAGATAAATGTTTACGTATTGCGTGTGTCTGACTGACTGCGTCGATTGTGCTTGATATGCGCGAGTAAATAGCGGCACGTATAAGACATTCTGTATAACTGTTTATAAGCGGGCGGCACGTGTGTCGCGCGGCGTTTGAAGAAAAATCCCTTGTATATGCTGTGCGAGGTCCCATCCAGGGCGACCAGATAGATGTAAGCGACTTTTAGAGGAGTAACTCTATAAGTTTACCCCCCCCCCCACATACACACACACCTTGTTTATTATACTCTTGTTTCCTTCGCGCTTAGATTTAACGAACGCTTCGATACCTTTCTCTCGCTCTCACCCTGGTGAAAAAGATTCTCACAGCGTTTCATCGTATTTTTAAGAATTTTTTATAAAAAATATTTTTTAGGAATTTTTCAGAATTTTTAAATTTACGAAGATTAAAAAAAAAGAACTTCTCGCGATCTTATAAGTTTTCTTCGAAAATTACGGAATGAGAAATCTTAGAAATCTCGACATGTTTCGGAATGCACATGTATAAAGAATTCTAGAAAAGTATATTTTCTCAGCACTTCTGAAGAGTGTTTCAAGTGTTCCACGAAGTATATGAGATATTTTCTAAAAAGTTGTAAAATTACATAGAAATTCTGAGAAATTCTGAAACTTATGTAGAAATTTTGAGAAGCTGTGTGAAGAATTCTAAGAAAAATTTTCACCAGGGTAACTTCGATGATCGATTTTCATCGTCGAGATCAAATTGATTCTTGACGACTGTAATCGCCCCAATTCTATTTATTGATTCCACTCGTTTTATTCCCCCGTCGATAGCTCGGGTTTTTTTATATAACGTTTGAAACTTTATGTATAGTTCGATAAGTAACGCGAAGCATCGAGCCACGTTCAGTTACGTGTACTTACATATCTTTGATTGGAAGCATCGTAATCTCGTTGCCGCTTTGAATTCTTTTACTCGATCCGTCGATTCGTTCGATTCCTTTTTTTTTGTAATTTTAATTTATTATTTATTTCTCTAATAAGCTGCAGTGTATCTTTTTTTCTGAAAAATAAAAAGTTTGAGAGACCTATGATCGGTGTGCAATGCAAATCCACGCATCTCTCCTTGTAAAAAAAAAAAAAGAAAAAAGAAACATTACTTTGTAAGTAAGCGACGCGTTTTTGTATCGATAGACTATGAATGTAACGACTTTGATTATCATCGCCGTAACGTATATATATAATTGATGGAATCCTCGTTTTTAGAGATCGACGATGTAACATGTTGACTGTAAGCTATCACTAAGGTAATTAAAGGACAGTGTAATTAAAAAAAAAGGAAAGTAGAGGAAAAAATATATATATATATAAAACGGTGGAGTAATTACATAAATAATCATTTGTATCTATTTCGTTTACAATGATTACGTTACATAATGTAGGCACTTGTATGTAAGGTATTGTAATTCGTTTTCACCTAAAAGTACAATACACCTGTCTACATACATTAATAAATATTGATAATGACGATTACAAATACGATTGCGTTTTTCGTGTGTAATGTTATGGAACATGTACCCTGGAGTCCGTCGTGAGTGGCTGCTCTCGCGTGCCTTTTTAATCCTTTTCCTGCTATTATTAGTAACCTAACAGCTTCAAATAATAATTATGTCCCCTACGTCGCTTTAATCATGATTTTAATAATATTGAAGCACAATATATGTCTGGCGTGTTTGGTTTAATTATATATACGAATAAGCGGAAGGTAATAAGTGGCGGATGGTGTTATATTTTCGTGACCTAAACGTACAAAGACCGTAGGCCACGCGTATCCGCTTCCAAATCTATATAACAACAGAGCTATCGGATCAGCTGGGCGGTGATTTTGGAACACAGCCCGAAGCTGGTGTACGTAGTATCACAAATTAAATTGACAAGCATTTTAATAATAAAGAATTTATTGCAAAAAATATTACCTCAGTCAGAATTCAAACTTGAATGTATATACATTTCGTACATTAAAGTCTTTATTAATTCATCACTGAAGCATGCGGTGATATTCATCGCAATAATTAGCAAATGTTAGAATAATTTTTATTCGAAAAATTTTTTTGTAACTTGAAAAAAAAATTGAGTACACACGCTTAAACCAAACACTGTACGTTTGTATATCGTAATACAAAAATATATAATCGAACTACAATATACTTGCATTTGTGTATATCGTAGTACAATAATAACAATATAATAACTTAATTGTACTACAGTATACAATATATGACATTAATGCTTCTCAGTGGATCAGAACTTTAAGAGAAATATACTCTCCTGTAAAAATTATGCTACTTGAAGTCAATTAATAATGATTGCAAACATAACAGAAAATGGATTAAAAACTTAACGCGATTCTGTATAGTATTGATGTACATATACGGGATGTGTCTCAGATCGACTACGATTGCCTTCGATTTATTTGATGTAGTACGAAAGGAAAATGTACGATGGCCCGATATATTTAACCTAATATTCTTTTTAAAGAGAATTTATAAAGGGTTCCCTAACATTTAGAAAACATTCCCAGTCGGCGATTCTTACATTAAATTAAAAAAAAATAGGCGAATAAATAAAATATTAGAAAAATTGAGATTGGAATATATATATTTAAGCAACAATGTTAAAAATAGGAAGGCCTGCGTTGTAATATAATAACTTTTTAATTGAGAATAAATCTCTGTGTTGACCCAGATCTTCACCAAATCTTGGGGATCTTGCCCTGGGCAGGATGATTGAGCGGATAGGATGCGAGAATCACACAACTTATTTTCCGACACACAACGTATTTATTTAAAACGAGAACAGTTCGACCGATTATTTGCTTGGCTGACTTTGCCGACTTTGGCTAATTTTTTCATAAAAACTGTGCGACGCTTCTGTGTATGTCGACGTTTCGTGACCGGCTCTGAATTTAAAAACAAACAAGAGAAAAATTAAAGAAAAAACTTTTTACTTTCCTTCGTTGTTTTTACAATCGGCTTTTTTAGCATTATTGTTTAAATATATATATATATATATTCCAATCTCAATTTTTCTTAGATAATCTTTTATATTCACTTATTTTTTTAAGATTTAAAAACTTAAAGACTTAAAATCACATTAAAGAATAATGTATTAGAAAACCTAATAAACATTAAGAATAAAAAAATATGAATACAAATACAAATTGATAATAAAAGAAGAGACAAACTATGATATTGATTATCAATACTAACAATTATCACACGCACAGATGTAGACAAAGATATTAATAATAAGAAACAACGATACGAAAAGTGAATTTGTAAAAACTACATTTACGAGCCGAGAAAAAAATATAGTCGCGGGTACAAATATCTTTGTTTAGTTTAACATCTAGCAAGATGTTGATCCTAACGATTCCCTCACTTGTTCCGAAGTTTTCACAATGCAGTCGGTCGGGGACACTCGCCTTGTTACTTTCTATAGGCTCGGCAAAAAAAAAAAAGATTCTCGAATATACAAAACGCGAATCTTCGAGAAAGGTGTTAAGTACCTACTTTGATTTCGCTGCTTTCTGATCCCGCATTTATCTACGCGAGGATCAAGTGCACCTCGCTATTTTAATAACAACAGTAGGAGAATAATAATAGAAAATAATGTCGTTAGCGCTTCTTTCGCGTTTAAATCTAAGAGCAGAGGCACCTTTTCCCCCTTTTTTTTTTGGTTTTCCTTGTACTTCCCTGTAGCACCAGCGCGACAGGAGGAACATTGTAAAAATCCATGCAAAAATCGCAGATACGCACACACAGGGTGGCCTGGACAAAGCGAGGCGACAAGGACGTACGAATTATGGACCTGCTATACTGCTGCGACTCGGATTTTTTTTTTTTCCGGACGCCCTCCACATACGTATCATATTTTATACGGAATATACAATGAGTATAAAAATCTTATCCGTACGCGTAACAATAAGTACAATTCCCTCGACCCGTTGACTCACCGACCGATGTATAGCGGTAAACGTCCTTGCGAATAATTTCAACATCGAATTAAATTAACTAAATCACATTTCGTACTTGTTCGATTCAAGCCCCGGAGTCGCAAGATTCCAGAATAGGCGATATTAAAAGTTGTGGCCCTAAAAAATTTCACGATCAATAATCCACGGAAATAATCTTCCGGCTTTAGGATCTCTTGGGATTTAAGTTCCGCGGAATTAAGTTTCGCGGAATCTTGGACTACGAAAGAGCGTGAGAGTTCAGTTTATTCTCTCGGCATCCCTCATTTTTTCCCACAGCATATCTCTGATCATTTCTCATACACTCATACCCTAAATATTTTATATTTTTAGTGTATTTCTGTGTGAACGAATTTGTTAAAAATTATCTAAAAATATATATATATATATATATTATATATACACGTGTATATGTACAAAAAAATTCTCCTCTTAAAGCGTCTATGGCAGTTCGCTGACGGTAAGAGACATCGGTGATCCAACGGGTTAAGCTTCATCCTTCCTAGATGGTGAAAATCTACCTGGGTCGGGCTGTGATGCAAAAGTGACGTAATAATACTGTAACTACGATTGCGCCGCGATCCACGCGGCGAGCTCTACTGATTTTTTTTTTCCGATCGCTCGCTGCACCGGCATGCGCGCGATAATCGCGCGCTTCACGTCGAGAAGTGGCGGAGAATCTCCGTGATTAAAAAGAAAAAAAAAAGACCAGCTAGATGGAACTCGTGCAGCTTGTGCAGCAAAAGCGATTGTTAATTCTATTGTCCCGCCGGCCGAAAGTTTCGCCAGTTTCCGTGCGAATCTCCCTCGGCGTTCCTCGGTTCGTTCCAAATCTCCGAAAAATCTCCAAATTCCCCTAAATATTCAACTCCGTGGAAATTCCGAATTCGCAAATCCCGAGATCGTGCACAAGCGCTCATCCTTCTCCACATTTATTCATCTCTTTTCTCCTTTCCCGTCAAAAATCCGCTTCGGATTCTTGGATTTCCTAGATTCTTCTAAACTTTGACATTCCTAGATTTTCTACATTTCTTAATTAATCTCTTAATTAATAACCTCATTAATTTTGAATTTCATTTGCCGATTCATTTTTGATATCCTGACGTCCCGAACTTCTTTCCCAACTCCAAATCACTCTCATATACAATACTTATTTCTACACTTTCATTTTCAAGTTTCGTAAAGTCCCACTCAACTGATGATTCTAAATGAAAAAAATCCGGGAAACACATGCGATGCATTGAAAGAATGGAACAGAATTTCTATAAAATGTAGAAGACAGTGATAAGCATGTAAGAGTATAGATACACATAAAGGATCCTAGCGATTGTACGAGTAAATTCTAAAATTCTCGGACTAACGTTTTCGTCTGCGCGGCGTTCCACCTTTTCCCACGTTTTTCACACCCCGCGAATTTTGCCTGAGTACGACTCGCAAAAACCGACGAAATCTTCGCGGCGGCCTATCGCGACGTCTGTCGCACGCAACCGCGGTGAAATTAACGTCGCGTCGGATCAAAGCGCCGTGTACGCGCGACGCTCATAGCAGTCGCGGGCGACGCCGGCGAGAGCCTCCGCCATCGCCTTGCCGGTCTCCTGCACCATGCTCTTCAGGTAGCCCGTCTCCTTCTGCAGCAGCACGTGGGGATGATCGAACTCCTGCGATAAAAGAGTTCGCCTTTAGAGGAGAGAAACGGCGATTTACGATCCGCTTTCGTTACGATAGGGCCGTACATCCTTTACAGCCTTGATGCGTGCGAGCGTATAAAACCGTTTATATGCTACGTGTAACGGGGATGATGGAGATACGATCACTCCTGCTCGACGGTTTATATCGCGGAACGAAAAAAAGGATGAACGCTAACCAGCGGCATCTTCGTGTTGGAATTAATTAGAATAATCTAATCGTAGTATTTTGCAATTCTATGGCATCTAAGTGACTAAGTCGATTTCCATCAATGTAGATCAACTTTAATCTGAGTTTGATTTATTCTTTATCCATTTCTAATTCCTGGAATTAGAAGAAGATGAATTTTGAGATAAACCGAGATTAAGGTCAATCTGATTGGTGAAAATAGATGTTATTCAAACAAATTCAATTTTATTTAAAACACCACGGGAATTCTCGGGGGATAAATTCGTAGGTTTCATAAAATATTCGTACAAACTCACACATATAATATGCGACGTTAAATAAACTTCATAATTTAAAAGAGAAAAAAAAAATGAAAAAACGCGTCGCAAGAATGATCGATAAGTTCATAGTTGCAATTATGATTCTCCACAATTACAGAAAGGGAAGATTTCGTGACCTACTTAAATTCATTCGATGATCCACTGTATAAAAAAAAAATACTCGAAGAGATAAGATCGTGAAAAAAAAATTGACTCACCACCGCGGTGCCGGCGTCCATCACCAGGATACGATCGCTGTCCATGACGGTGTTGAGCCGATGGGCGATCGTCAGCACCGTGCACTTCTCGAACTTCTTCCTGATCGTCGTCTGGATCAGCTCGTCCGTGCGCGGGTCCACATTCGCGGTCGCCTCGTCCAGCACGAGTATCGGGTTGTTCCTGACGATGGCGCGCGCCAGGCAGACCAGCTGACGCTGGCCGACGCTGAGATTGGAGCCGCCCTCGTTGATGTGGGCCTCCAGGCCGATCTCCTTCAGCTCGACCTCCTCGAGGGCACGCCACAGCGGGTCGTCCGTGTACGTGTCGAACGGGTCGAGATTCCGTCTCAGGCTGCCGGAGAACAGGAACGGCTCCTGCGGGATGATGCTGATCTTGGAGCGCAGATCGTGCAGGCCGATCTGGCTGGTGTCGATCTTGTCGAGCTCGATCAGACCGTCCACGTCGGCCAGGCGGAAGAGCGCCTGGATCAGGGAGGACTTGCCGGCGCCAGTCCTGCCGACGATGCCGATCTTCTCCCGCGGGAAGATGACGAAGCTGAGGTTCTTGAGCACCGGCGGCTCCAACGGCGCGTAGCGCAGGAACACGTTCTTGAACTCGATCCTGCCTTCCTGCGGCCAGTCGGACTTGGGCTTTTTACCGGGGGCGCTCTCGAGAGGGGGCTCGCTGTCCATTTTGCTGGAAGAGGATTGAAGCAAGGAATATTAATACGACATTATTTAATAATAAGAAAGAGAGCAGAATATTCGAGAAAAATATTCGCAATTTTTTTAAATCTTATTTGAACGTCTAAATAAATAAAAAAGTAGGGAAGTATGAATATTAAGAGAGTCATGAATTTTAGATAACAAAAAATATTTAAATTAAGAAGATTTACAAATTCTAAGATCTAAGGTTCCAAGTAGAATTCAAAGGAATTAGCGATTTAAACATCTATTAATACACAATCAATAATGGGGTGGCACGTGACTCAGTATGAGATTCATAATTTAGTAAGTCGATAGTTAAATCCTGTGTTTACTTTGATTTTAATAAGAACCTAATTAGAGAGTCGAAGATTGTGAGTGTATAAAAGTAGAATAGCAAAGTAGAAATCGATACTAAAAAAGTAATAAATTTAAGATAACAAGAAATACTTAAAGGATCTAAATCCAGATCCGAAGATTAACAAATTCAACGCTCTAAGATCTAGGATTCCAAGTAGAATTCGAAGGAATTAGGAATTTAAGAGTCTAATAATACACGATCAATAATGGGGTGACACGTGACTCAGTATGAGATTCATAAGATTGGTAGATCGATATACGAAGATGATCCACATTTCAATAAGATGAAATGATAAAGATAATAAGATACGGAAAATTAATACAAATACAATATCAAGACATCCAAAGAGCATCAGCGAGTACCTGTACTCAAGGATACGCTCCACCGAGGTCATCTGGTTCTCCAGCTCCGCGCTCTGGCGCATGCCCCATTGGAACATGCCGGTGAGGCCGATACTCTGCGTGATCGCCAGGCCTACGTAACCGCCGTCCATCGAGCCGCGGCTGTAGCTGTTCAGCACGAGGAAGCTCAGCGTGACCAGCATGATGTACAGCACGCAGAAAACGTCCAGCCAGAAGCCGAAGGCGCGCGAGGACGCGATGAAGATGTACCACGCCGACGAATGGAGATCCTGGTGATTGTCGAACTCCTTCGTGAGGATCGCTTCCGCCCCGAACGCGCGGATCGTCGGTAGTCCTTGGAGAGTCGCGCTCAGGTGAGCGAAGACCGGCGAGCGGGCTGCGGAAAGTTAAAAATTCCAGTTAGTTTACCCGAAAAATTGAAATCCATCGTCAATCCAATAAGATTGACGACTCTACTTCAGTCGGTGATTAAAGTCTATCTTATTCTACGAAGCAAGCTGTGACCCCTACCGAAAAATGAGCCCAAGATACTCACTGATGCCTTCGAGACGCTTGACGCTACGACTGGTGGCCAGGTAGAAGATTCTGAGATAATAAAAGACAATGCCGACAATCACCGTGGGTATCAGCAGCCACACGTTCGCGATGGCGACCACCACGATGATACCCAGCAGCGACAGACCGATCTGGATGCAGTCGATGAGCGCAGTGGGCAGCATCTCGTCCACCGCGCCCATGTCCTTGGAGAAGCGATTGAGAACGCGTCCCGACGTATTCGTGTTGAAGAATCGCATAGTGGCGCGGCTGATGCTGCGGAACATACGATCGTGCAGGCGTATCGAGGCCCGCATGCACGTCCAGAAGAAGGCCCACGAGCGGATCAGAGTGACGCCGATTGTCAGCGCGGTCAGGCCGGTGAAGATGTAGATGCACTGCAAGCGGGTCAAAGGGCTCCTCGAGTCTTCCACAACGCCCTCGTTCGTTTGATTCATCTGTAAAATTATATAACTGATAAAATATAATCAATGTGAACGGAGATCATGTAATTGCAGCTGGAACTGCAATTTTATTTTCAATTTTAAGCTCGACATAAAACTCTTTTCAATCCTACAGAGACTTTTTCTAATAATTTTAAGAAAGAAATTTACACTTTGAAAGTTTCACATTTTTATTTAGGGCATCGAAATTCTGCTTTAATTTACTGGAATTAAATCATAAATTTCAACCTCTTTTATGGCAATAACTTTTTTACTTAAATTCTTTATTTAAATTAAAACTCATTGCACAATCTTTCAAAAAAATTTGAACAAAACTGGAATTGAGAATAATAAATATATATTATTTACTTCATGTATATAGAAAACGTATAAATTTTGACGTGAAAAATATTAATATCTTGGTTGGAAGAGTTCAGATCATTTCTTGAATCTTTCGGGAAAGCAATTACAACTGAACATAATTTCTCAATGATTATTCTGACAACTTGAATAATGCACTTACATAGTTTTCCTCTATTTCAACCCATTGCGCAATGAAGAAGTCGCCGCCGCTGGCCGCTAATTGTGTCAATACGCAAAGCATGGCCACTATGAATATAACGCACCAGTTGCCGCCAGCGCTGAGGTAACCCTTGTATACTTGACCGGAAACATTGCCTACCGTTCGCATTTCAGCCACCTAAAATTAACGATTTAACCGTAATTGTTACCGTAATTTAGCGTGAAGATCTCAAATTAGTCTAATTAAGTGATAAAAAATAAGATAATTCGCTGTTACACGAAACTCGTTATTTAATTATCAATGGTAATATTTTTTCTAGTATGTTAAAATCTAGTTAGAAAAGATGAAATATCTTTAAATTAATATTTTGCTGTAACTTAAGACACTTGTAATCCTCCTAATTAATTGCAATATCAAATATTATGTTTTGATAAATGATTTAAATAAGATATATATTAGTGGTTACTTCAGAAAATAAGTTAGAAAATAAGCTAGTATTACCTCCTCAGGCTCATCCTGTTTAGTAGTATCATTCGTCATGAAAGAACTCAGCGATGTGATACTAGCCGTGCGCGAATTACTACGACTAACGGGAGCCGATGGGGGTCGAGAGGATTTCTCATCCGTCTTCGCTTGGTTCTCCAACAGCCGACCGAAATCCACCCCCATAGAGCCCAGCTCGTCATAAGTGCTGAAGAATAAAAAATCTCATGTTAAAGCTGTAGAAGTGACGATGTTAATACAGCCTCAGCTATAAAGTATAAAAAATTCAATTTATTGCATTTTCTTGAAAAAGGCGGTATTAAAAAACTAAAGGACTAATATATTAAAGTTGTTTTTTTTTGCATCGGTCTATATATATAAATTATACTCTCATTCCCATCCTCTTGAATTCAAGGATCCAAAAATCCAATCGTAAAATTTAAAATATATGAAAAAAAAATATATATATATATAAATAAACAACGCAAAATATTTACGAATGTCGATTTTGCAATCTCGCCAATAAAAAAATTGTAGTGAGATTAGATTCGGATTAAAGAGACGGAGAGAAAGTGCAGCAAAATCGTACCCTTCAGCCTGAATGGCTCCGTCCTTCAGAACGATAATTCTACCGACGTTGCGCAGGTATTGCAACTGGTGAGTCACGAGAATCCGAGTCTTGCCCCGTAGATACTTGTCGATGCATTCTTCGAACATGTGCTTGCCCACATGAGCGTCCACGGCGCTCAAAGGATCATCCATGAGGTATATGTCGGCATCAGCGTAAACGGCTCTCGCCAAGTTTATTCTGTCAATTTTCAGCACATCAGCACATCTTATCAGTACATACATGACTACTGATATATAAGTTAAATTGCGTTAATTATATTAAAAATTAATTAAAGCATTACATGCATTTACTTTATCGTTAAAAATTAAAATCTTTATTTCGTATATCAAATGTAAAAAAGACATAAACATAAATTTTTAAATATATAATCTTATTGATAAAAGCTTACTTTTTAAAAGTTATATACATTATATACCAAAAAAATATTTACTAGACAATCAAAATGATTGTAGAAAAAAATTAAGTAAATTAATAACAAATAAGTTAAGATAAAATGTTAACTAAGACGAGAAATAAATAATAATTATTAAAAAATTTAAAGAGTTTTTAAGATCATGGATTTAAACAAAATTTTGAATAAAAATATATTATCAAGTATCTGTTATTGAATAAAACTGACCTTGCACGTTGGCCACCGGAAAGACTGATACCCCTCTCACCTACGATCGTCTTATCACCATAAGGCAGCAGACTGAAATCCCTCTTTAATTGACACACTTTAGTCACGCGATCGTATCGGATCTGATCCATCTTTCGTCCGAATAGAATGTTCTGCCTCACCGATCCGGCGAACAGCCATGGTTCTTGACTGGCGTAGGCAATCTTGCCGTTAATCTGTGAAAAAAATATTTAAAAGAATAATTATATATACATAATTTAATTAATTATATAATGCATATTATAAATATTTTAATTAAATTATACAAAGAAAAAAAGAAAGAAGATAACTGCGTATCTGAGTTACATTTGATTAGAAATCATTTTCGCTTAGGAGTACATATATATTTTTAAAATAAATTAATCAAGTACTTTATTTTTGTGATTAAAGGGATTTATTCAATATCTATTTAAGTTTCTTAAGTGTGTAACATTAAAGAAAGAACCTGTCAACATACCTGAATGGAGCCTTCCTGCAAACGCAGTTCTCTCAGGATGACATTCAACAGGCTGCTCTTGCCCGCGCCGACCTGGCCGACGACGGCGATCAGTTCACCGGGACGCACCTTTATGTTGATATTCTGCAGCGTGTCCTCCTGATCGTAGTCCAGCCACTTTGTGCTGCCGTTCTCGATGCAGATGCTGTGCTCGGCATAATTCGGCTGGTTCGTGTAGTCGTTCTTCTCCTGCTCCTCGACCAGATCTTCCCTCGCGTTCTCTTTGTTATTTTCCTTCACGTCCTCTTGATTCTTCTCCTTCGCGTTCTCCTTATCGTTCTCCTTGTTGTTCTCCTTGTCGTTCTTCTTGCTGTTCTTTGCTTCAATCTCCGGAGGTGTCAGTTCGTCGTACATCAAAAAGTTCTGCAGTCGTTTTATGGACACCATCGCTTCCGCTACCTGTGTTATTCCTGGATTCACCATAAAGACAAAATATTTTTAAAATAAGAGAATAAAAATATAGAATAATTTGTCTCACACGTAACAATAGATACAATTAAATGGGTCTTTAATTTATGATATTAAGATAATAAGGTGCATGAAGTCTAAAATTGTAGATCATAATTGGAAAAAATAACAAATAAGGTACACCCTGAAGAGAAATGTAAAAAGAAAAAGAAATAAAGATAGAAATAAAGAAATAGCAAGAAGACGGAAGGAATAAAGAAGCAAAAATAGAAGCACTACACGTGTCAACGTTATCGATGCCGTTCGCATATAATTATCATACATTATTGGTGCTATATAACTACAGCATACCTTGCGGAAAGAAAACAGTCATAGTTGTACGTAAACTGTTGTAATACGCGGTTATTACGAACACCTTCTCGGCCGTTATTTTGTAGCCGAACAGTACGTAAGCCAGCACCGTGATGAACAGCGACATCCTGGTGGAGAAGATGATAAACGACATGGTGACACCTCTGATATACGACGCCCACCGGATGACACTAACTTCTTTCCTGCAAATAAATTGGTGTTAATTTTTTCTTTCTTTCTTTTTCTGGCAAATTGTTTTCATCTCTTCTGATCCAGAAACGTGTAGCCGAATTTATTGGATCCGTATCTCAATATCGAGAATTAAAGAGGCCATTCACACAAATTTTTGAATTATAAATAAATACCGTATTTTGTTTTAGACAGTTCAGATTTCGCAGGTAAATAGCTATAAAATATTTGTTAGCAACAAAAACATAATAATCGATATCTGTGGTATTCGATATTAACAATAAATATATCATTTTTATTTTATTCCAGATTTAAATATAATCAAAATTATATATAAATTAGGAGACAAAAATCGTCACAAAAATAGACATATTTAATATATGTATATAGAATAATATATTTAACTATACAAGATATTAAAGACCCACAATAAAAATTATACATAAATTAAGTGTCACAAAAACCGAAGACATATATTTTATATATCTAAATTAATATATTTAAATATATAAGGTATCTAAAAAAAACAGACATCTTTATTGCGAAATTTTCTATTAAAAGACGTAGTCTATTGCATCTTTATTGCGTTTAAATGTTTCTACATTATTTTCAAGTATTGAAAAACTTAGTTAAAAGACGCAATCTTTTGTTTTCAAGTATTACAAGACGTAGTCTTTTAATTAGCCTACGTCTTTTAAAACTCTAAAATAATATAAAAACACTCAAACGCAATAAAGATGCAATAAGAGGCAACGCAAGGCCGTCACTGTCGCCGTCGACTATTATCATTTCATCCGATCGTATCAACAGAGACAAAAAAAAAACAAGCCAAAGAAGCGTCAATTCGCTTTCAACACATTTGTCTACGATGACTCAACTCAATGTAGAGTACGTGAAAGAACACATCCGCAGGATGTTCCGGGAATGTTTATGGGGTTCCAATGAATAATATATTCGTTTCAAATAAAAAATATAATAATCCATCGCACGACTATTTATTTATATAACGTTGGAATTTTTATCATTCCTTGAGAAATTAATTGGTAGGTATAGTCTAAGATTAGCATAAGCATTAAACACGTCGAACTGCTCTTTACTTCCATTCACGTGGTGCAACGTCAAGTGCGTTTTGTATAACGGATGTTTTTACCTGATAATTACGTTGCTCAACGTATAATTAATATACGAGTGTTGCTTGCGTAATCAGTGTAAACGACGAGAACGTACTCACCTTCGTGCTTTATCTATGAGCGCGCTGAACGGATTCTCCCAGGTGTACATCTTGATGGCTTGGATCCCGCTGATAATCTCATTCGTCAGTCGCACCCTCTCGTCGGTCCTCATCGCGGTTCTTAATCTCAGCTCCGACGACTTTTTGCCTAGCCATGCTGTGGAATTCCGGGAACGGGGCGTGAAATACGATTAGAAGCACAGCTCTCGGCGATTTGTCGAACGGAATGTGTCAATTAAGCAGTGAAAGGGTTCAATAATTAAGATAGCAATTTAACAAATTTAGGAATTTAGAAACAGAGTTTTTATGAACTCCGGTATTTAAGAAAACTTAAAAAGTCGCAGTTTTTTTACAAAAATGAGAATTTTTCGAAATTTCAGATTAAATCAATTATTATTTATTGAATTTAATTATTTGTTAACTATTATTAATTGAAAGTAATTATTTGCTAATTATTTTTAATAAAATTAAGTAAAAGTCAAGATTTCAAAAAATGCCAACTTAAGCGAAGCAAAAAAAAAACGATTTTTGTCAGTAAAATTATTTCTAACTGAAACGTTTCTTAACTTTCCAAATAACATACATATACATATCAAGTCACTTTCAACTTGCCCGATTGTTTTTAACGCTAGAAACGATAAAATCGGTAATTTTCTCACCTTGCAAAGGGATGAACATCAGTAGAGAGGCGACACCGATGATGGACGACACTCCGACGCCGATCACGTGGTACATAACGTACGTGATGATGATGGTCTCCAAGGGACCGAGCCAGAGATAATGGAGAAATATGATACTGACGTCGAATCTGTTGACGTCGTTCGACAGCAGATTGACCGCCTGGCCGATCGTCGTCTCGCCTAACGCGGTCCTGGTCATCTTCAGCGTCTTGCGGTAGATGAGCGAGCAGCAAGCCACGCGGACCTTCATGCCCATGTGCAGGATGCCCATCATGTAGGGATGAACGACGAACACGTTGACGGCGGAGCACAGGATGACGCCGATCGCGCAGCCGTACGCGTAGAACTTGTCGACCTCCAGGGTGTTAAAATAGCGCAGCATCTGGCCCACCAATAGCGGTTGCAGCACCCTGCGTCGCGAGAGAGAATTCGTCAGGTCGTGCGAGAGAAATATTACCTATTACTTAGATTATGAGATAATTATTCAATATAATTATTAATTAGATCTAGAAAAATTAGTCAATATAATTATTAATTATATTTAGATAATTATTAATTCGATTATAGGAGACTTTACGGGCAGGATTGGATCGAGTGATCGATTCGATTTATGTAGAGACAAGTAAATTTGTTATACTTTTTTAATTAGTTTATATAGGGCGCATTAGCGTTAGGGATAAACAAAAAGGAATCGGGGATTTAACAATACTCTCCTCTATTGTGCGTCGGGTCACCGCAAGTAGACTGGATGGACATTTTGCAAAGATAAGAGGATTTCAGTGGGCGGTTTCAAGGGCGGTAGTAGGTAATGAATCGGCGGACCGATAAACATTAATCTGCGCACATGTAGCTTCCCAAGGAGAAAATCTATGGACTCTGATAATTCCTGATGAGCTTCAGATTGATTTTTTAAATTCAAGATTTCTAATTTATAAGCAGGTGATCCTTAAAAGTTTCTGCGAAAGGGGAAAACTTGTGTTTTTAATTACGATTTTTATTGAATATATTTAATCTAAACGTTTGAATGAATAATGAATGGACGTTAAACCGGATAATTTAAGAAATTCGTAAAATAGAAGCTTGTTTAAGAAGAAAAAACCAATTAAAAATCTGTCAGTATTAGTTTGCTTTTAAATTCATAATCATTTATATAAATATATAATTAATTTAATTAGACATAATCTTTACTTGGTTAAATCGTTATTCAATTCAAAAAAATTCCATGGTAGACTTGACCGCTCGGTAGGATATTCAATTCCGCAGTATTAACTCTCGCCAGCGACTTGTAGCATCTTGTTTTTTGTTCCACTCGTCAGGACAGACAGGCGGGGAATGTAAGAAATTGGGATGAGACTTCGTAGAATTTCTAGGTGAGAAACGCGGGAGGATTGTACCTGAGCAAGATCTCCATGACGGCCATGAAAATCCCGTACAGCAGGGTCTTCAAGCCGAAACACCTGACGAGGACTCTCATCAGGCTGGGCCCCTTGACCTTCTTCTGCGACCCGCACTTCGCGACCTGCTCCAGCCGGCGCTGGTACGCCTCGCATTCTTTCTCCCAGGCCTTCGCTATTTTAACACCAAGAATACCACTTGTATGCTCTTTAAGCGGTGTGTACAAATCAGTTACTTCAAGATCTCGGCGGTAACCCACCCAGAAAATGCGTAGGATCCAACTGCGAAGAAGAAAAGCAAAAGCACACACGTTTTACTCTCGCAAATCATCCGACAACTCGTCCGAATTTTATCCTCTCGCCGGCGACACTAATCTCTCCCGCTGTTTTCTACAATGCTATCGCGTTACGTATCATCTCGCAAAATTGATCTGCGTCCTTTCTATTTCGAATAGAAATCGATAAAAATTGCAGTCAAACAAGGTCCAAGATAACAATTGAGGACAATTTTCTTCTCGCAAAACTCGATGTCAAGATAAAAATTCGTCTATAAAATTCTTTGAAGATACGATCAACATAAAAAAAACTGCACGTTATTAAATTACTGACGTTATTAAATTAAACATTACAAAATAACGTTAAGCAATCGCAATGATATAAAAATTTCTCCTAATATTTATTGAATGTGATACAAACATGGAGTTGAATTTCGTAAAAATAATCCTCAATGATTTAGCCAGAGACATGCGGTTAGCAACAACGGATGATTTATTACGGATGATTAAATCGCGATTTAAATTTGCTCTACCAAAAAGAAAAACGTGAAAATAACTTGTAATCATTTCAGTCGACTGCACATGTAATCTCCGCGTTATCTGTTATCCGAATAAAATTAACAAGATAAAGATATATCGTTCATTTGTTACAACGATGACATAACAAAAAAAAAACCAAATTTTTCAGAAAGTATTTTGAAATAACAATTTATTGTAGGAAAATAAAAATATATTCTTTTAATATGTTTTTTCTCTTTTTCTTTATGTTCTTGTTCTTTTTTTGCAATAACAATTTTTTAATTACGTCGTCGTTGTAGCAAATGAGCAAATACAAGCGTTACTGGACACAAAGATCAAATATAAAAATAAAATTCAAAACTATTTACTCATAACTGATAATTCAAAACTTATTTATCTGTAAAGCGATCCAAGATGATCCTAACATTAATTACAGTCCCATATCTGCGGCATCCGATAATTCACGCCTGCTTATCATCATCCAAGATCGATTTCTATTAATAGACAGTGAGACAACTGAACGCTAAGTGCATCCATTTGTTTCTTATCTGTCTGTTTGTCTACCTATTACGGCGATTCTTCCGGAAAATAAACTACTCTAGAAAAGTGCACCGTAATCGGAGCGTGAGGTAACACCTTCACTAATCCTTTGAAGCATTTTGTATATCTACGGTGTAAAAAAATTTGATATTATCGAATCGAAAAATTTAAAATACAACAGTCTGCCAAAGTGTAAAGTCAGACAGACTGACAAACATGTGGTCAAATTAATTCCGATTGAATTCATCGGAATTTAATTTCAGATTCTCCGAAGCGATCAAGATCATCTTAATTATCTTTTGGATATCTATGATTGCGTTCTAAAAAAAAAAAGATTACGTCGTCTAATCGAAATTTATTAATTTGATCTGATACGTTGATTACCCTTCACAAAACTACCTAGTAAAACCCAAAAATTTTCGATCCAAGTATATACGAAAAAAGCGACAAAATAAAACGATTATCTTTATATCAATAAAATCTGATTTTTTCGTTCAAAAGATTTTTTAGAAAAACAAATTAATTTCTGATTATCATGGATTCTATAACTAGAATGTTTGACAAACTTAACTGTAAAGATTTGATTAATATTTTTTAATTAGATCTATAAAACTTCTAGTTATATTCAACAGACGTTCTTTTTACCACAAAAAGTTATGCTGATCTAACTAAATAAATTTAGTATCATCAAGAAATTCTGGTATGTTTAACAAGAAGGAATTAATCATGCTCGTCTAATAATTTTTAAACGAATTTTTAATTCATTTTCTAATCAATTTTTCACTCAATTTTTCAAACATACTGGCTGAATCTATCAGATTTCTAATTCATGCAATAAGATTTCTTTCCCCAGTGATGAATTCATTTCAGAATTAATTCCCGGAAACTCTTGGATCTTACGACGTATCAAGTTATTGCATTCCGCGGCTTCCCCGCGCTTCTCTTCTCCCTCACAATCAGTTTTATCTCCCTTAACGGCGTCCGCCGTTTGTTTATCGTACTTACGAGAACGTCAAGGCGCTGAAGATGTTGGCGCCCGCTCTGGGATTCTTCACTTTCTCGGTATACACTTTCCCATCCATGATGACGGTGTTGTCTCGCGCAGAAGTCTCTTCTGCAAAAGGTACAGTGGACCCTCAATTACACACGTACATCTCACAAACACATTATACATATACGTGCGCGCACGTCGCGATTACATCCGACGACGGCGTTACTCGCGAAGAGAGAAAGAGAGAGAGAGGAAGAGAATGGCAGAAGAAATCTCGGCAGCAACTACATTGTGTGCCGAACGTGAAGCAACTGCCACAAACTCCTCGCCGTCGCTTCCCCTTCCCTCGCAAGGATTACGATTTGATAAAGTCTGTAGGTTATCTTATCTGCACGTTACGCATGAGGAATCAGAGCAACAACGGCCCTCTAATATCGCGCTTATCAGCGGACGCGGGTGCTTCCGCACGTATAGCCGCGATTGTAATCGTAATCGATCCCGAAGAACCCTGTTTTCCCGCCCCGCACGCGAGTTTCACATTATTGCGCGTTGTTACGACTCGGTACGAAAGACAGTCTACACAGCACGACAAAATTTGCCGCCGATAAGTCGTCTCGCGGTACACATTTCTCTTTTTCTTCGTATCTTTCGCATCGACGCTTGCCGTGCAATGCGCGTACAAAATATACTTCGTCCGTGATACCAAATATTTAATTTCACAATCACGCGAATAATAATAATTTCTTTCATACAACATTAATCCTTTCTAAACGTTCTGAGAGTTTGTATTCAAAGATTGCAATGTAATTTGAATTCGAAATAATAAAATTGAATTTTCCTTTATTCTCGAAATTAAATTCGAAAATTCGTAAAACGCCTGCAATTTTTCTACGGAGTTCTGGTTTTCGTTTTCAGTTTCACGCTTTCAGCAAAAAATTCACATTCTTGACAGTCTTGCAGTATTTGAAATATCGAAGCTCTTTTATTAACTGCGATTAAATTATAAATTTTAACTTCTTTTAATTATCTAATCTAAAACACAATAAAATTTCTTATTAAATTTATTAGCATAACTCTTAAGAGCTGCAATGTAATTCTTAAATTCAAAATCAAATTTTATTTTAAGTTTGAAAATCATATTTCCGTGCAACGGAGATTTTTTTTATTTTGCTTACATTTTTAAGAAAAAAATTTACACTTGCAAGTTTTGTACTAACAATACGATATCAAAATTTTGACTTAATCTGTACTGCGATTCAGTAATGAATTTCAATTCTTTCTAAAGCACAATTACAAATCAAATTTATTTTAGTTAATCGCAATTACGCAATTCGGTTTCATAATTTACTAGGTATAAGCTTCACGAAAATTATCTGTAATAACGATATAATCGTTCTTAATACCATATAAATATATGAATCTACGGTTATTTACCCAGCGCAAGTAGATAAGATACTAGTCTTTTATAACGTCTGTACCCGGATTGTGATTGAAATGAATCGTTTATCTGTCTGCAAAGCGGCAAATGCGCTAGACGGTTTCTATCTTATTTATTTTTTCTCTTTTTCTGTTTAAATTATCATCCGTAAAGAAGTCATGAAGTTTTTGAAGTCACGCACGTTTGCATAACGACTCCATAAATTATTCAATGAAAGCTGATAAAAATATTTCAGAACTCTATAATCGGATGTGAGCACAGAAAAAGGTATATTCGAAAGCACGTAAAACAACTTTCAAAATTCCGGCTACATATTAATTTTTATATTACTTGTCATCCAATCTTTCCACCAACTTCTGTATTAATCCATACTAATCATTAGATTGTTTTAACAACCACAATTCACTAATTGTAAGTAGATAATCACGGTAATTTCGATTCGCGATAATAGTAAAAATTTTTCAAAAAATTGATTAAAAGACCTCACATTAAATAAGAATTTTCATAAATTGAATGGCTAAATGAGTGAATCCTGATTGAGATAAATAAGTCCGATGAACTGTATGGCGGCAATTTGCCACTTTATCTCATTTTGATAATGTCTGTATCAAGTTTCATGACGATTAATTTTGCAAGGATCATAA